CGAGGTTCTGGAAGCAGCAGCTGTAGTGGGGCTTAGAGAGCCTGCCCTGCCCCATCCATCCCAGTCCTCTCGGCGGCCCAGGCCAAACCATGCTGCAAGTGTCACCCCTGCACTGAGGGAAGGAGGAAGGGGGCCAGGGCTTCCTAGATGACAGTGCAAAAAACAGCCACACAGAACTAGCGAACAAAGACCACAAGATTGGAAACTACAAGAAAGGAGAGGAGGAACACTGCACTGGGCTGACAGCCTGCGATGAGTGGGAGAGGGCTCAGTCTGGGGGTGAGGACAGAGAAGCGAAGAGGCCTGGACACTGCTTTGGACAATGGGAGGCAGAGAGGGAGGAAGTGATGTACAGAGGGAGCACGGAAGTCACTGCAACAAGACACTACTGATTTGTGGGAGACAGGCAAGGGTTTATCCTGCACAGTAAGACTTCTTTCTCTCCCTCCAGCCCTCAGTATTTTAAGATGGAGAAAATGACAGGTGTCATGTTAATGAAACTACATAAGCTTAGCTGGGGGTCAGAATTCCTGGGGTAAGGTTTGGAAATCTCTCTTAGTATGGAAAGGGAGATCGAGAGAGTGCTGGGCCCAGTTGTCCCACAGGACTGTGATGCGGCCTAGTCTTTGAAATCACTGGACAGAGAAGAGCTTGTGAGGTACTGAGTGTGCCCTGGGCCCCAGGAAGCACCCAGCACATGCTGGTTACTCCTTTCCTTCCTAAGTCACCACACACACACACACACACACACACACACACACACACACACACTGTCCATTGCTTTTCTGTAATCAGTAACAGTGGCAGTCAGGGCAAAAGCGGGAGCCTCGACATGATGATTTATCCAGAAGAGCTGAGCTACTGTATCAAGAGAGAATGTGCGCCAGCGTGGATGGATATTTACGGGACACTGTATATTACCACACTGCTCGTCACAATGCTGTAGTTAAGGTTCTGTGGATGTTAATGATCTGTAGTAGAAGGATAATGACAGATTCACAGCAGCACTGCTGGTAGTTAACACATACTCCCGACCCCATTTTCTTACCCTGCAACAGATCGGCAAGAGGCCCCACTGCTGCCCACCTAGGAGCAGGTGTGCTGAGTACCTGTGTTCTGAATGTCACTCTGCCTGTTTCGGGCACAGGCAGCACCGCCGGCCGGGAGCCTAGGGAACAGGATGGACAGAAGCTGCCTGCTTTCTGCTTGAAACCCCATGTGTTCTAGTCTTGAAGGCAACTTGGTTCTGTAGGAAAAGCATCTGCCAGTAGTAGGTAGGGTAACCTGAGATTCTGCTTTGATGACAACAGCTTCTGTTTATACTGTCATCCTGACTGCTAACGGCAGATCTATTCTACTTTCAAAAGTGTACTAGTTTGGATGATAAGCTAGGTCACCCTAGTTTCAGGGTCAAAGAAAGTGGCTTAGATTCTTAGTGTTCTTATTCAAACTGTGCTAAGTGATTTAACGTCTCCGTCTTCAATATCCCTTAGAGTGTAGAAGAGAACTGCTTCCTAAGGTAGTTTGGCAAAGCCTCAAAATAGCAGATCAAATACCTAGAGCAGTCACTCAGTTGGTGGGGTGCTTGATATTTAGTAGTTACAGCTGTTTGTCATCCCTGCCTCTTCAGGACAGAGAACATTTCTGTCCCTGTCCCCCACACCCAATTTCTATCTCAAGGTTCTAATCTCCAGCCTAGTGCTTCCCATCCCAGCCTACATCCACATACTGGAGAAGGGACAGAGCAAGACGTTGACGCAAGCAAGTCAGCCTCAACCTCAGACTTCAGAACTGTGAGAAAGTTCATCTTCGCTGTGTAAGCACCCAACATACAGCAGTCCAAGAGGATTAAGGCCCGGTCTTATAGCTATGGTGCTCTCTTGCAGGTTCAGTGCCCTGCTAGGCTCCGACTTAAAGGTGACTCACTGACATGATTTCTGGGGGCTCTATATACCAACTTCACTCCCTCTGGTAGACAGGAGGTACCCTCGTGGCCAGGCCAGGTCCTCCTCACCTCCTATCTGGGTTGAAGTCCTGGCACCGTCTTGGTATACGTAATAGTTTCTAATAACACTCATGGCCAATGATTATTGAGCATCTACTGTGTACCAGACACTGTTATAGATGTCTCATGTGTGTTACTTATTTAGTTGTCATGAGAACTCTGTGAGGTAGGTACCACAGTCATCACCCTCTGAGGCAGAGTAGGGTTAAAGCAGCAAAGCTGGTGACTGAGGGAGAAAACTTTCAAGCCCCGGAAAGCCTACACTCTTAGCTGCATTTTCCCATGTTACCTTCCAGGTACTGAGTACCCAGTCTATGACAAACACACATTTCTTGTTTTATCCCCACAGTAACTCAAGAATGTGGCCCTTCTCATCTTGTTAGCTGGTCACTAAGCATCCAGAAAGAACGCAACTTGCCTAGAGTCATATGGCTAAATACAAGGCTCTGCCTGATCTTAAACTGTACATTCTTCCTGTTGCTTCACAGTCCTCCAAAGAGTAGGTTCTAGATCTGAGTTCATGAATTGAACTATGGGTAACCAAGTTCAGGAGGGCACGACCTGAAGGATCTTCACCTCTGACTTGCCCACTTCTACCTATGGCGTTAGTTCTTGGATTCTTTGGGACAGTGGTTTTCACATTACCTTCTTCCCTTCCAGAACCTTCTGTCCTTCAGTGTCCTTCAGGAGATATATTCCTAGTGGTAGGTCTTGAGGCTCCCACCCAAGCCACATCTTCTTTTTTGTTTGTTTATATAGCAGCCTACCAGACGTATTTAATTAGAATAAAGGTTCCTGGGCTTCATAAGAAATTTGAAGACCAGAACTCCAGGGGCCAGCAGCAAGTGTTTCAGCAGAGGAATGGAGCAATCACTGTTTTATCAAGATGCTTTTCTTTCCAATGTACAACTGAACCAACATGCCAAACAAATTCCAGGCAGGATTTGACAGTGGCCTGTTTACAGTTGGGCTTGACTCCCTTACTACCATACAGTCCAATTTCTGAACATTGGAAAAGTGAGCCAGATATCACTCACAGAGATAACATGACACAAGCCAAACACAAGTCGTGGGCTGAGGACAGAGGAAGATGAAGGGCGTTGTTGCTGTCTTTGGCTAGAACCTGAAGTCAGCCAGTGGAAAGGCTGATGTGCAAATTGTCTTTGAAATCAGTGACAGAGCTGTGTGTATGTAAGTGACAGAGCCCATGGGGGAGGAGACAGGGCACTTGGCCCCTGCTGCCCTGTTACCTGACCTCTCAGTGTGGCACCTCAGAGGTAGCTGGGGCTCCAAGTTTGTCTCACCCTGACTCCTGTCCCTTCCTGCAAAGTCTTCCAGATCTATCTGCTATCCACGCAAACTCTTTCATCTATACGGCCTGCTTCTCATCTAGACCCACAGTGGTCCACTTCGCCCCTCTGCCCAAAGACCCTGTCTTGCCCATCCCCTCCTCTGCACTGTGTCACAGGGGCTGATCACTGGACGAGATACCACAGGGCTCCCTCTCCAACCCACTTCCACTTAGGCTTGGTCGGTGGGAGGCAGTGGCTGGAGACTGGATGGTGGGAAGAAGGGAGAAGCAGTGGCTTTCTTCCCAGCCCCCTACAGGCAGTATTTCCAGCAGCAGCTGAGTCTCCTGCTGGGCTTAGCATCCACCAGACACCCCCAGTCCTCTCCACTGTTCCCACTCAGGCTGAGCAGCTGCCTCTCACGCTCGGTGTCTGCCTGGCAGCCCAAGCTCAGAGCTCTACTAATACCACCATCTTACTTTCTCCTTTGAGCCACCTCTACCAGTCTGGGTTGCCCTGCTGTCCCCTTTTGGTTTTTCTGCTCTTCTAAAGCCTTTGTAACTAGTTCCCCCCATTAAATTCCCTCCATTAAGTGACCCAGAGTACACTGTGTTCTTCTCACTCTCCTGATGGATGCACTTAGATAATTCCATTAGCTTTTTAATGCTCCTCCTACCTGCTAGGCCACCTGCCACAGGCCAGCCGAGTGATGCTGAGTCCCTTTCTATAGTGACACTGTACCACCTGAAAGCATCGCAGCCTCCCACCAGAAGCCCTGTTTTTCAGCACATTTCAAACCCTCTGTCTCCTGGGCCCACTTCCTTCCTGTCCTCATCTGCTCCCACAAAGGGATCTTGTGCAACGCACCCACCCCCCAGCTTCTGCATCAGCCTCGGGAAGGTGTGGGACTTTTCTACAGCTTAGTGCTTTTAAGCATTCAGTTCCCTCTTCCTCAATACTTCTCTTGCCTTTCCCCAGGAACAAACTCTCATTATCGTTTAAGAACTGCATGTTCTGGGTGAAGAGCTCACTAAACAAAGCCTGTGACTTGTCCACAATGCTCCCATGGCGTCCTGTCCACAGTCTCTCTTCACTGACAGTCACTGCAGTTATCTTACACTTCTGTCATCTTACAACCATTACTATTCTTAACCTGCCTACCTTACCTGTCTTTATATTCCTGGGGAGTACAGCTCCATCTGACAAGGAGGAGGTTCTTGGTTTGCCCATTCACATTTCCCCAGTGGATGAATGAATGAATGAACTGCAATTGTAAAGGAACGCAAAAGAAGGACTTACCGACTACTAGAACTCTGGATCCAAAGTAATAAAGGTCTGTTATCACAGAGAGTGCTGAAGCCTCAGTCAGAAACTCACCCACACCCACCGTAAAGGTTCTTGGGACATTCCTGCCCTGGGGGCGAGGCTAAACCTGATATTCTCTTTTTAATATTCCCAATATTTCTAAGACTATGGGAATTCAAGATGCTGCTTCAGGACATTTATTAAGCACGACGACAAGCAGTCCACCTAAGAAATGTCAAAAGGGGCAACCTTCTGCTGCATCTGTGGGGATGCACCCATTCAGATTCCCTCCCCTCACTGTGGCACAGCCTCTTCTTTTGTGACATCTACGCTAACTGCACTGCAATAATTATAATTTCTCTACAATGTGGTGCTTAATGAGGAAGTGAAACTGACAAATGTTCAGACTAGATTTAATCCAATTATGCAACATCTTGATCCAGATTTCAAACTAAAGGAAAAACCAACTGCTGAATTGTGAATGAAAATTTATTTGCCATAAAAGATGGGGGCTGCAGAGGGAAGCAGGGAATAGTTGTCGAGAGGATTCTTGTAATTCTTCACGTGAATGGATTGACTCTTCCTACATTTGTGGCAGAGAAGTGGAATTAAATCCTGGCCAAGGAAAATCAGCCAAATGCCAGCTGTTGGGGCACAGGGGATGTGGAGGACGGGAGGCAGGCGACACAGTGAGAATCCTGAGCTTCAGAGGTGGGCAGCTTTTGGTGAGACTCATTCTTGAGCGTCCATGAACACCTTTGAGGCTCAGGAGGAGGAAGCGGTGTGCCCGACAGAGTAAAGGATCAGGAATGGACTCTGCAGGGGCCTCCTCAGTCCATAGGAGGAGAGAGGTGCTCACCTCCAGCCAGGGAGTGCCAGCCTCGGGAGGAAGGCTGCTCTACCTAACACTCTGGAGACCAGAGGAGTGGGAGGCGGGTGGAGGCCCGAGCGCTAACTCAGCCTGGACTGGCTGTGAGCAGATGGAGGGCTTTGCCTTTTCCTTACTTGTAACACCAGCACAGGTCAGTGAAAACTGTGTGGGTGCGAGTCATGGCAACCTAGGCTTCTACTCTGACTCTGAATTTACTACTGGGTGAGCAATGGGACCCATGTGATGATCTTGCTGTATAATTTACCCCTGACAAAGGGCCTTGGTGGCCACCCACTCGGGATCCTTTCTGGAAATCAAGAGTTATTTTTCTCCTTATTTCTAATGAAAATTTCCTAACTTCCTCTTTTGGTTCTCGATGTCATTCTTCAATGCTATGATGTTATGAGAAGAGGAACCTGGCACATCCCACATCTAACAGGTGAGGAGTTACACTTTTCTATATCACTAGGGCTCTGATTAGAGAAGAGATAAGCTGAGTCCAGAGCCCAGGCTGTCCATGCTACACAGCAGGTGCTCAGGGAAGTCCAGCCACTTTTTCCAGAGCTACATTAGCCTTAACTTTTTAGTTCATAAAGTTAGTGGGTGGCCCTAGGAGACAAAAAAGGAACTGAATCAGAGGCTAAGTGTCAAAGCTGATCAGTAAGATTTCTATCAGATTCTCTTCTCAGGACACACCAGATAGATCTACAGTTCTGATTTCAACTCTCCAGAAAGAATTAAGGAGGAACATATTTTTTAGGCACCTACTCTCTACTCAAAGCTTACAAATGAGCTGACCTAACCATGTTTGATAAACTGCCTTGCTTCTTCCCCTTTTCCCTCTCCCCTCCCCATCCCTCCCCTCCCCATCCATACCTTCCTCTCCCCTCTCCTTTCTTCTCCTCTCCTCTCCTCTTTCCTTTCCCTTCTGTCTGCCTTCCTCCCTGCCAGTACTGGGGATGGAACCCAGGGCCCTTGCACAGAGCCATATCCCCAGCAATTTTTATTCTTACTTTGAGACAGGGTTTTGCTAAGTTTCTAAATTGCCCAGGCTGGGCTGAACTTTGACCCTCTTGTACCAGCTTTCCAGAGTGCTGGTGTAACCAGCACTACCAAACGAAGCTTTACAAGTTAGGTATTTTTCTTTTAGTGATAAGCAATTTCTCCAAACTTCCTCCTGTGAGCACAAAGCCAACACATCCCCCTCTCCTCAGCCCCAAAGTGACAGAATATGCAGATCCCAGCCCCAGGAGGATGGAGCCTGGCTTCCTTTCCACGAGAAAGGGGAGAATGAGATCAAGATGGCTGGAGATAACAAAGCAAGTGTGAGGTCTGCATCATCTCCCTGTGATACCCTCCCCTCTGTTCCTTCCTATAAAAGGCCCTTGGACACCTGTACATGGTGAGGTGATGATTTGAGACAAATATGACCGTCCATCTCCTCCAAGCTAGCTTTGAATAAATCCGTTTTTCTTTTTCACCAAACAATATGGTCTTCTTTGATGTGTTCATCTGGGAGCAGAGCAAACCAAGCAAGGAACCTAAGTGGCTGGTAACACAGGTCTGCGCCACCAGGCCCAGCCTGCAAGTTCTTTCTTGTCTTGAGCCAGACTTGCCCTCTCTTCTTATCATAGAGCAGCTCATAAAACCACGGAGGCAACTAAGATCTCTCTCTCTCCAGTTCTTTGCCTCCCTAGGGCCTTGTGAAAGCAGCTCCTCATCCTCTTTGCAGAGTATGTTCATCTACTGAGCTTACTGGGGCCCAAGATACTGGTACACAGTAGTTGCTGTTTCCATTTTGCAGGGGAAAAAATGATGCTTAGAAAGTTGAGGTGACTGACAAAGATCACACCCAAATTAAGGAGGGACTGAGGTGTGTGTGTGTGTGTGTGTGTGTGTGTGTGTGTGGTGGCTGATCATTCTTTTCAGTTTCAGAACCCACGTTTCATCAAAAGGAAATGAATGTCACATCTAATCTATCAATTTCATTATCAAAGTCCTTATTTACTACTATGCCAAACTTTAAAGAATCTTTTAAAGGCTGAAAAGATTCTGCTGGAACCCAATGACTGGTTATTACATTTTATTACTGATAATCAGAGATTCTTTTATGCCTAATACAACTATGTAAAAGGGTTTTAAACTGAGCAATTATAAGGTGAAAGGATAAAAGATCTTCTTCATGCTGAAGGATATTGCATGGGGAATGAGAACTGTGGAGGAGAAAAGTGCTAAGTATTTCCCATGCAAACTGATGGGAATCACACCAGGGCTTAGGTCTGTGTCATTAAAACAGTTGACTATGAAAGTTAAGTTTCTATTAAGTTCAATGTCACTGACATAGTAAAATCTAGGACAGGCACTTTCGCAGCCCATGAGTGCGTCTTCCTGCTGTAGCCCCACGATGGGACCAGATTCATGACCAAAGGCTAGGATGGTGCAAAAAGCACTAAATAATGAATGCAGTAGTGTGGTGCCTAACTAACACCCTCCTCCCCACTCGGCAATGTATATTTTTGACAGTCAAATAAAGGCCAGGATATTTGCCTAGAGGATAGGTCCAGCATTACCAGCTGTCAGAAGCAAAGATAGACTAAACTTTCTCCTCTCCTTGAAACAGGGATTTGATGATAAGTTCCTCAGCTCTGCCTGCTACAGTGTAGTCAGGGTAGACTCAGGAGTCAGAGACCTCAGTGATCAGCCTATAGCCTGCCTCCATCCTGCTCACAGCTTTGCTCAAGTTATTCTCCCCTTCCCAAACACTCCTTAGCTTCATAGCTGTTTAGCAGTTCCTGTCACCAAGCATTTACGCCCTCGACTTTCAGCGACCCTGACATAAAAAGTATACCTGTGTATTTAAGACACACAGAGAGATCACCCATGTGCACAGCTTCCAGCAGCCTTGACCAGGAAAAGAGATAAAATGCGTATTTCTAGGAGCAATGGGATTAATCCTTATCTAGACCCAGAGTTCCAGGAAAGGTGGGAGGGAATGTAGCCTGACTCTAAGAAGACATTTAGGAGGGAACGCACAGGTCCACACTAAAATAAGCAAATCTATTACTGGAGAAAGCAGGATGAGAAGGGACTGAGCATCCCAGGTTGATAGCCCAACAAGGGATGAATCTGGGGCAAGAATGAGAGAATGGGAGGGAAGAAAATAAAGGGATGGAATCAGTTTTCTGTCTGCACCTGTGTCTTAGCTAACGGAAACAAGGCTCTGTTCCCCTAAGTTGGTATCTGGGACCAGGTGAGGCCATCACAAAACACAGTGAATTTTAACTTCTGCTGGCCTAAAACTCTGGAATCCCCAGTCATTCGAATGTGACCTTGTTACCAAGGGCATCACTGTCAACAGAAGAGTGCTGGTGAGCTGTTGACAGGCTCTAGGACAGAGATGTCAGGGTTCTGTGAGTTTCAAGACCTACAAAAAGGTATGCATGCACATGTTTATATTGTCTGGGAAGAGGCTCCACCATCAAAATCTGGAGGAGATCAGAAATCCAGATGATTAAAAGTGAGGCCGCTCCATTAGGACCTCAGAGCAAAGTAGGCAGAAGAAACAGACTAGCAGCCCCCGGCTATGGGTTTTCGCTGCGCTTGCGCTCAGCACTGTGCTACTTCAGACTGCGGCTCATTCAGTCCTCAAGCACAAGCTGGATGGCAGACACTAGCATTTGCTTCATTTCAGCAATGAGGAGAGTGAGACTCGGGGAGACTAACTGAACGATCCCAAATCACAAAGCTTGGGCACGCTGAAGCTGGGACTCAGATCCAAGTTGTTCTCATCCCGAAGTCCATTTCTGCAACCAAAAATGTGGCACCCTAATAACCACAATGAAGTGTGGCCAGAAGTTCAGAGAAGCATATTCCGAAGAGCAAAAACCCCATGGATTCCAGCAAAGCTAAGGAGAGAGAATAACACTTTAACTGATCTTGAACGTTGAGCCAAGAAAGACTTCAAAACCACGCTGGCGGGTGAGGGGAGGATGAAGGAAGTTTGTGTGCGAGAAAGGAGGTGCCTTAGGCCTGTGACCACTGAAACTGCTTCTGAGGGAAAAGCATCGAGGGATGAAGGTCCTGAAACTGGGAGGCCAGGTTCTGCTTCTCAGGATGGAGATGTTGCCTCCAATGATGGCTGAAAGCGGGAAAAGCAACAGAGAGTAAAACAGTGGGGTCCGAGAGGAGAGGCTTTTGGATGTCAACACTGACTGTCATAATCTAGTAGTGATTTTATGCACAGACTGTGATAGATCAACTGCATGGTGGACCACACTCCCCACCTCTCCATATTCATGCTCTTGCAGTGAAACTCTGCCGTGACTCCCACCAAAGGGCAGGGTTCCTTCTTCATCCCTGACTTTGGGACAGACTTCTGAATTACGCTGGCTAAAAACATAGCGGAAGTGATGAGTCTAGGCTTCCATTCATGCTCTGGAAATCTGGCAGCCACCTAGTACCTAACACCCTGGGTCAACCCACTGAAGGAGAAGATACTACATGAAAGGCACTCCGTTTGTCCCACCTGAAGCCATCAGGACCACTTCATAGCCAGCCAAACTCTGCACATGTGAGCAAGCCAAGCAAAGTCACCCAGAACTGCCCAGGCCCACAAATGACCACAGATATGAAAGTCAGGAGCTCAGGGAAGAGTGGACGCTGGGAGACCATGCTGAGGACCCCCTGACTTGTGAGGGTACTAAGTGCTGCAGTGTTATGCCTCTGAGTTTTGCTGTGGATTGCTTCACATCCATAACCCACAGGCACCTTTTCCAACAATTCTCTAGTGAAATGACTCTCAAGTTAACATGTATTTTATATTATAAAGAAAAAGCATTTTTAAGCCAAAGAAAATTGAGTAATGTTTGATCTGATATATTCATATGTACATTTTATATATCTGTATACAAATATCTATTACATTCACAGTACTATGTCAATTTATTAAAACCTAAAAATCTTGAAGAGTTGGTTTTTGGATGCACTGGTGAGCACCCAGCTGGCCAGTGTTCCCTGCAACCCAGTCACCGTGGTGCAGGTGTTGTTCTTCTTTATCCTACTCAGAATGTAGAAGTTTCAGGAGCCACAGGGGATTGGAAGAAGATAAGCAGCTGAAGGGCAGGATCCCTCCGCCCCCTTTTTCTCTTTCTTATACTTTATGCACATTTATTGTCTAAAAACAAAGTCTGCAGCTAAGTGTAACTTGAGAGTGCACTACGTACCCGTCATTTCCAATGTTACATGATCTGAGACAGGCGAGAAGGGTCTGGATCTACTCTCACAACCAGGGATGACAGTGATTTTTAGAACAGTCTGGCAAACTCACCGGGCCCAGGTCCTGTCTCCACACTTCTGTGTGACACAGGGCTTCTCAGGAGGACGGCCACACTGACCCTAATTCTATCAGACTGTGTTCCTCCAGTTATAAATGTACAGGTCCCTCTCCTGGAAAAATAAAGAATCCTGACAACCCTGAACACTTTCCACAGTGTTTCTTTCAGTAGAGAATGTCCAACCCCAGGGAGGAAAGAAAAACAAAACGAAACCCCAAAATAACTCTGCCAAGCAAGCAAAATGTTTGTCTTTGCCTGGTGCACATTCTCGACATGGGAGGAGAGTGAACGCAGGTGTGTGTATGCATGTGCACTCGCACATGTGTTCAGAAGGCCATCTGTCAGCTCAGTGATCCAAGCTACAGAAGAAACACAGCACATTATTTACGGAGGGTGCAGGGGAAGAGGCCACGAGCTGCCGAACACAAGTCAGGAAGCGGGGCTGGGTCTGCTCTGAGCACAACTCAGCCTCAGTCTGACTTCAGGAAGAAGAACAGAGGCGCTTTGGGTCTAAAGGCATTCATTTACTCCTTCATCACTCACACAGTCATTCATTCACTCACTCATTCATTTAATCCTGGAGCAGCTGCTCTGCGCCAATGTCCCCTGGTAATCAGCACATGACAATAACTTGATTCTTGTCCTGATGAACCAAAATGCAGGAAGTAGGGCATAAAGGTGACCATTCCCAGTAAATAATTCAATGCAACATTTACCAAGTGCCTGTTAATAATGCATACTGAAGGATTACAGCTATTGATGTATTTACACTGTTGGAATTCAACGAATTTGGTTTTCATATCACCATTCTAACCCGGGAAGACTGAAAAGAGAGCAGAGCAGATGACTCACTCAAGATCATACGGCTGGTAACGAAGGGAGGATCTGAACCTAGATCACTTTCAGAGCAAGGACACCACCTTGATCATCCATGGGAATTAAATAATGCGCAGATGCTGAGGTCACAGAGCATCAGGAGACATAATTTCAGCAAGGCTTCGTGGAGAACACAAAGTCCTAGGGCTCACATGGATGCATAAAGAGGAAATGACAACCCATTGTGATTGCTGCAGAGATGGGTACAGGGTGCTCCTGAGGGACTCCTACTCCTGCTTAGGACTCCTAAGCCTGCTTCCTCCAGGACGTGTGCAGTCACTCACTGGAGGCAACAACCCCCACTTCAGTGAGAACAGTCTGCTTGCCACAGTGACACAGGAATAGCCTCATTTAATTTAATTCATGACCTCCCCTGAGGTTTTGCAAAAGTGTTCTCTCTAAGCTTTGAGAAAGAGCTAAAAGAGAGTATTTCTTTTACAGATGATGATGCAGGATGAGACACAAAAGTTGCTCAGGGACCCTTGTGAAGTGGCCAGATCTGACTCTGAAGATCAGGGCTCTTCTTTTAGGACTGACAGGGGTCTATCAAGGAGATATCTAGGCTGCATCTCTCACCTGTGTAGACCTGGACCCAAGGAAGAAGCTAGGTGGAGCCTAGGGTAACAAGCCCCAGGGCGGTCTCCCCTCTTGTGGGAAGCATGGAGCAGTCCTGAAATTTAACATGCACCAGTGGGGTTACCTCTAGCTTATTTTTCTGGCTGAGAGCTGATGAAGGGGCAGGGAGGGAGATCGCAGCACAGATTTGCAGAGCTTGCAGGTGCCCCAAGGAATAGGCAGCCAAAGAGAGGAAGTCCACAAGGGGAAGTCAGGGTGGGCAAGATGAGGGGGGGGGACTGAACTACTTCAGTGAGGTTTAGGTGAGTGAGATCAACTTTCTAATGTATTTTCTCTTCAAATTGGGCAAATAATCTTGTGCATAGATAAGAACCCTTAAACTCAGGGACAAGAAAATTTACCCAAACCCCACAGGTGCTAAGAGGAGCTCAGATGTGATAGTATCCACTTGTCTCTGAAGACAGGGCCTGTGTGTCCACCGCCTGTCTCTCAGGGGTACTAAAAATGACTCCTGAAAACTGGTCCTCATATCACATGGAACAAGACTTGGAAACTGCAGGTTTATATGTGGTGGGGTCCCTGGAGATGGTCCATACAGCTCAGATATCACCCAAGCAAAACTTTCAGTCCCTTTAGGTAAGGACAGTTTTTTAAAGTCAGAAAATAGAATAATGACTTTCAAATAAAGCACCAGTGATTTTCATAAATTCCTTCTTCAGGGTCTAGTCATTTGTCTATTCATTAAACAGTCTTGGAGCAGCTACATGGTGCCTGGCCTCAGGAACAAAAGGACCTCAGGAAGCTCATAGAGGGGATGGAAAGAGTGCTATTAACAAGGAAAGACAGGGCAAGGGGAGACTGCTTTACTGCACAGAGCAGAAGTCTCTGAGAACACACACTTGCGCTGTGTTAGGGGAGGGTTGTGCAGGGGTGAAACTCTGGCAAAATTGAGGTCCACAGGCTGGGCAAGGGATCTTCCTGCAGTATGCTGTGTATGTCAGGCTAAAGAACTCGGATTTTCTTTCCCCAGAGCCAGGAAGCACGGTGATGGTGTGGTCAGAATGCTTCATAAATTCACCAAAACCAAGGCACCATGTGGAGCTTACTTCATCCCATATCTAGACCTGATCTGGAGGGGTGAGGAGACACAGATTGAATCAAAGGGATCTCGGTGATGGGGTTGGACCAATGGGAACTCCAAGAGCAGACTTGTGCCTTGGTGATAAGGAGGGCTTGAGGCATGAAGGGCTTGGGGACAAACGGCCTTTCTCCTGAGCAGCAGGGTTCCCAGACAGGGGCTAAGAAGGGGACTTGCCTGTTTACCAGAGCTGCACACACTGGGTTTCAGAAACCGTGTTTAGGTGGAGTGAGGTAGTCTCAGGTCACAGGCAGGGAGGACTACAGAAAGGGACACTGATCAGGAAGAAGTATCTCATGGAAAAGGGGAAAGGGGCAGGGAGAATGACCAGAAAGACTCTGGGCTCACAGAATACAGAATATTGGGGGTGCAAGGGACATGAAGGGCCCACCCTTCCATCCTTCCACCCAGGGTGACTGCCTGACTGTCCTCTGACAGCTCCAGGGTGGCTGTGCCTGCTCTCTTTGGTGCTACCACTCCCACCTCAAACAACTGTTCCTGTCAGCAAGGTCTCTGCCCTGCCACAGCTGGAATCTACTATCTTTAGCATGGCCACTGGTCCCAGTTCCACGGTGTGGAACACAGAACACTATGGCCCCTCTACCAGACCTTCTCCAGGGTTATGTTTCTTTCTTTCCACCCAGCCAAACAATTTAGGGCTGTCAGCTACTCCTTGGGGAAACAGGATTTCAAATCTTTCTGTTCATCTTATCTTGAAACATGCAGGTATGTCTTTGTGCCTCTCATAGCGCGGAGTTAGAATGCAGAGCAATGTTCCAGATGGAATCATTTTAGCCTCACGAGCTCTTTGTTGGTGTCAGAACGGGGGCTCTTGAGTGTCTTCATGAGATGAGGGAGATCAATGGTAATGAGAAACCTTAGTTTCTTTTGCATAGGGCCGTGGCAAAGTCACTCATATTCCCCACTCATGAACCTTCCCTGGCTCACCAGTATGGCTGAACTGTGTAGAAGCTTCCCTCTCAGTGCTAGCTGGAGGACCTTCAATGTGAATTGAGGGACCAGCAGTGGTTTGTAGCATCACAGAGCTGGGAATTTTCGTTTCTGGCTCGGGCTCTCAAGAGTCCTGATAACAGGTAGGGTTCAGATGCACCAGACCACGTCCATAATGCAGCACATCTGCAATGGCTTTCCCCACAGTGTCCTGCTCAGTGCTGGACCTGCACATATCCCAGAGCCCTGGCCAGCCCTTGGCCTGCTGCCCTTTTGAAATGTTCCAACCACTTACAGATTGGGTGAGCAGTTCCCTGCCCCAGAGACAACACTGTCCTTTACTGCACCAGGTATAGGAAAGTCTTGGTTGGAGACTTTCCCATTTCCGTCGGGGCCCTGGAGTGCCCTTCGTAGAGTGGTTTGCACAAGTCAGCCCAGTCCCACTCTTGGATCCCTCCCTCCATCCAGACTGGCCACCCTTCCCATGGCCTGTCTCCTTCCCTTGGCCCACTGAGGAGCCCCCAGCAATGATACATGCTTTGTGACAGGCATTCCAGGAGGACAGCTCCTGGCCATGATTGCAGACACAGTCTCCACATGAACCTGCAGTACAGGGAAGGTGTACTTACACTTACAGGTTGGCTTTTTGGCACGTCATAAACACCTTCCTTCTTTTGGCTGGTGGGAACCTATGAAAGAATCAAATTCCACACAGTCAAAACACTCCAGTGTTCCCCTTTAAAGCACAAAACAGCCAGACTTGCACTGTGAGCTGGTGGAATGTATACAAGATGTCCAAGATAGGCCAGCCCAGCCCCAGGAGCTGCTCTGGTGGTGAAAGCATGGAGCCAGACAGAGACTATGGGTATCCTGTAGTGAGAAAATCATCCTCATTTCACTGAAGGCAAAAGTGATGCCCCGGGAGGAGCGGTGATTTGCCCAAAGATATTAAAAACAGTGTGTAGCTCAGCATAAACTGCTTAGTGCTGAGGCTGAGATGCAGGCTGTTAAAAATACAGTAAATATAAGAGTCCTGGCACATCCATGGCCTTCAGCACTTCTCTGCATCCTCCTCCTTCCTCCTGGCCTTGCTCATCCATCTGGCCCTCCCCGCCATGTGTTCAAGGTAAGGCGTGAACAGGTCATGTAGCTCTTCTGAGCTATACCATTACCAAAGGGGCCTGTCGGTAATGCCTCTTGCTCGGGTTCTTGAAAGGATCCAGTGAGAACATGGATGTTAAATAAACAAAACCTACAGGAATCACAACACTGTAATGGGTTAGAGTGATCCCTTCTTTTGTCACTGGTACATTATATACACACGTGTATGAACACACTGTGTGATACTAGCAATAGTATATGGAATGCTTCTCTGAGTGAAGGGCTCTGCACAGGGACATTCCAGCTCAGAAGCACTCAATAGCTGCTCCTTCCCCAGCAACTACCAGAGCTTAGCTCACACCTCTACCGCAGTGGCCAAGAGTCAAGGACAGCTAGTGGTTGTCTTTCCTTCCATTAGACTGGGGCTGCTCAGGGGCAGGCTCACTGCCTCCCGCCTGGAGGCACTCCACAAGTGTTGCAGGTAGACACCTGCTAGAGGAGTCCAGGGTAGTGAAGAGAAAGACAAGCTGCTTGATAGGCACAGCTCACCATGCCATTCTTCTATGAGTATGAATTTGAGCTTAAACTTCCAGATCCTTTATCATTTCCACTCATGTTGAACTTGCAGTAACCCTAAGAAGCTGGTTTTATCAGGTCTCTAGCCAGCAGAAAGTGAGGCTCAGAGAGGTTAAGGACTCTGCTGGAAGTTTCAAAAGTGGCAGGCTCCAAACCCTGCTCTATCTGACTACCAAGTAAGACACTTCCTGTTGATAGTATAAGCTGACATGCCCTGGGCACTTTCCATGTACTGGTTGCTGTTTAGAGCATGTGTTTCACATACACCCTCATAGACTGCTCAGGACAAGTCTCTTGAGGACTACACCTGTCCCCATGGCACACTCTTGCAGGTCCATAAGGCAACCAGTGGGCTGGCCAGGAGTGGGCTGGGCAGGCTGCTGTTTGACGGCTGCCTCTGGTGTGCCCTTCTCTCTGACATCACACCCTCCATGTCCAGAGGCTTGTGCACATTCTTGCAGAACACAGAACAATGAGTGAGCACAGCTGAGTGGAACATGCTCTTCTTGAGCTGTCTTTACAAACACAGTTTGCAGATAGCAGGTGAAGAATGTAATTTCTTTGCTTCTGATAACTGGGCTCCACTTAAAAGGAATCCTCTGAACGTCTACAGAGTCCTTGTTAATGAGAGCCAATAAATCAACAGCCACACTTTTGTTTTTACTAGCTCATCCTTTAGGAGCAAATGCATAGCATTCTGTTCCCTGTAACTCACCGCTCACCACGGCACTTAGCACACCAAACCTCTGCTGTCTCTCAATTATCCCTGGAAATGGAGAAAAGGCCACACCATGGAGAAACTAAAACTGTGCATAACTGAAAACGCTTTTCTGCTTGGCTCTCCCATGGGGGAGATAGCAGTCTGCTTGTTTGTTTGTCCTTTAAGATTTATTTCAGCTGGGACTTCTCAAAAGGCTGGCCCACCTCTTCATGCTGGGTTTGGAGCCCCTCTTTGCACTTGAGTGACCTCAGGTCCATCCATTCATTAAAAAAATAAAAGTTAACAAGTACCTATCGTGTGTCATGCCTGAGCTTTCGCCAGACAAGGATGTGACCCAATGGATAAGGCCCCTGATTTAGCAGAACTTTTTGCCTTGCTGGGGGAGATGGAGCAGATAACAGGCTGTGTAGACAGAGCAGAACTGTGCTTTACCTTTCCATGGGAGTTACTACAGCACCCTGGAACCACGTGTGGGTCTATGGTCTCATAGCTCTCTAAGCTTACTAAAGGTATTTTATTCCCCGTGTATTCCTGCCAGTACATGTTAGTTAAACAAAGAAGTTTCTGCTCATCGGGCATCTGTCGCATGGATGCTGATGGCTATGGTTTGGCTCTCATATCTGCATAGGTCCGTATACACAGATCAGCACAGTATGAAAATGTACAGTAATAAAAATTTCAATCTAAGGGAAAATGAAAAAGCTGATTCCTAATTCTGGCTCAGCCACAGGGTATGTGCCATGCAGAGGTCATCTGCTTTCTGAGCCTCAGTGTCCTCATCTGGTTTTCATAAACATCTAAAGGGTTGTCCATCAACTCCTTGGGGGTAGACGCCATGCCCTGGTCACTACTGCTTCTTTCCCTGTGCCCGGCACCTGCTATGTGTCTAAGCACATTTTTTTGAATGACTGAGTTAATCAATGTTAAAATACCCTGAAAGCTACACATGACATAGCACTGTACACAGGACACTTTTACTGTAGCATCATGCTACTTAATGGTGCAGAGAGGCAGTTCAAACAGACCTAAGACGAGAGCCCTGCCATTTTCAAATGATGAACCCTGACACAGGTGGGGTGATTAAGAATTAGTTTTGAAAAAAATGAATGTGAAAAAAGTTAGATTCCGAGGCATTGAGATCGGTTGCCTGGACTATGTTAGGTTGCACGTGACAGTCAGTAAGCTGCTTTTTCTGTCTCACTGCAGTACTGGAAGGGTCGAAATTAAGCCACACGTGAAAAGCTTCCTACTGTGAGGCTCTGTGTTGTTTTAAAGACAACTGGTAACTTTTTCAGAGGCAAGTGAAGCAAAAGACAGTGATGATTATTCATGCATTCGGGGGGAAGTGATCTTATCCTTGGAAATAGGGTCCTCCCATGGTAGATGCAAACTGTAGTCTCCACTTGCCTTGCCTGCCATGAGCTCTTTCTCCTCTGCCACATACCTCTGCCATGACGCCCGGCCTTGGTGCCAGCTGACTGTGGACAGAAACTACAACAAACTGAACCAAAGTAAACCTCTCCCCCTTTAAGTTGTGAGTGGCAGGTATTGTGTCTCAGGGAAGAGAAGGTAATTAAGACAATCTCGATTCCATAGCCCAGGAAACTGAGATATAAAAATTATGTACTTTACCCAAGGCCACAAAACAGTTAAAAGGAGATTAGGTCCTAGATATATTTGCCTCATTCCAGAAAAATGGGAGGGAAGTAAAACCTGAGATCACCCCGAGCCAAGCCTGAAGCAGAAGAAACGCAGTATGGGCTCTGTGATGTGGTACTCATCAACTCTTAACGAAAAGAAGACCAAGGCTCCTAACAGCAGTGCCTTAGAAGCTGAGCTTATCTTAGGCCCAGAACTTGTCTCTTGCTAAGTACACTACGCCTGGACAGACTGTCAGGGCAGGATGGGAAAATGACCAGAGGCCTCTCCAATAGATGGGGATAAATATTCCTTCCCTTAAATGGGGTCTTCTTGTTAATGGTGGGCAGATGGGCAGATCAGGAGGCTAGAGCTGTTAAAACAAGTGTGATTTTCAGACAGTGACTTAAAACATGCACAGAATTGAAGTGTGAAACCCAGAATCAGGAAATGCCGAGCTGTGAAGAGCTCCAGCATTCACATGTTTATTTACAGAGGTCAGAGAAAGCTGAGTATGGGGATTCTACCTTTCGCTACCTCTGTGACCCTGTGAGATCCCTTACCTCTGTGGGTCTCACTCTCCTTGTCTGTGAGGTGAGAGTGAGAACATGCTTTAAGCCACTGGGGGTGTTGGGAGAGATATGTGGCTTCTCAACTCTATTCACAGAGCCAGGCCATGTCCCCATTTCTGAGAGTGCAGTGGCCTGGTACAGCGAGCCAAAGAATCAGAGTCTCATGGTGAGGTGATAACTGCAAAGAGCAGAAAAGGATTGTTCCAGGGAGACTCTTGAGTCTTTTTACTTCATTTCACAAATCAGTAAACTGTGGCCCGGACAGGGCAAAGAGCCTGACACACTGAATGCATAACCGCATTGGTACATGTGCTGAGATCCTGAATCACACAGCTGGCCTCCTCCTTCTGTTACCTGGGGCAAAGCCTTATTCACACTGTACACATGAGCTGGTCTCATCCTTACACAGGCATGTGAGTCAGAGAGAAATCGTTCTCTTACTTTATTACTGGGGAGGCTTGAGTCTCAGAGAGAGCAAAGGTCTCGCCCTGACCACAAGCCAAAGGTAGTTGGCGACAGAGCCAAAATCGTCAGGCAACTTCCCAGCAGCCTCAGCCAGCTCTCCGCAGCACAGCAGCAGCTCCCATCGCCTGCAGTCCTCACCAAGGCCTGGGGCAGCCTTGTCAACTACAGCTGAGACCGGATTTAGAAAACTCTTGTGTTGCAAAGCCTCCCGCTCCTCCTAGGACGATGGGTTAATGACTCCTTTGGTCTCCCTCTCAGGCACTGCTAGGCTGCACACTACTTTGAAATCTGACACCAGGGAATAGTGCAACTTTGCTTTTTAAAGAGAGAAAGTTTGTAAATGATGACTTTGAACAAAACCTCAAAGTACAACCTCACATGTGAAAAAAAAATCCAGGCGAGAGAAATGGATTATTATTCCACAAGGCTGGTTTAAACCAAAGTGTTGGTAGAAATAACACTCCGTTTGGTCATTTAGGATTCTACACATTTGATAGAAACTGAAAATATGTTTTACTTTTATTATGCAAGTAATACATGCCCAAGGAAGGATAATAGACCACACAACTAAGTAAATTAAGGAAATTAAAATCACTGATTAAATACATTAATTTTTTCCTTCTCCTATAGTCTTTATGTTTTAAATTAGGGCTAAAGTTCTAATTAGTGAGAAATCAGAGGCCGTCGCTTTTATGTGATGTGTTGCTATGCTGAGCTGCAATCACTCCAGTGCTGAGATGAAAAGCTGGGGGCAGCCCAAGCTCTGCCTTCCCGCATGCCTCAGGCTTAGTCTGGGCTCTAAGAAGCCCTACAGCCCCGAGCAAGCAGTACACCTTCTCTGAGCCTCAGTCTCCCTTACCAAAATGGGACTCAGACATTTTATCACGTTTGTGAGAATTAAATGAGCTAAAACGTGTGTTCCATATTCTTCACACACTACATATTTAAAAATATTAATTTACCTTTCTTTTAGGAGGGAGGAAACCTTCCGATGTGCTTTCTTTTATGTCATTAATACTCCTAAATGGTTTTCAAACAGTATTTTTGAATTCATGCCTTATTTTCAGTCATGGATTTGGCTTTTTTTTTTTTATAAAATTGATGAGTCCATTCTTCTAAGAGTTGAAGGAAGGACCTTACTACCCTATGATAAACAACTCTCCAATGTGCTACTTTATTAGAGTGGAACGTGTGACTTTTGTTTCTCTCTAAAATAGCTACCATCCATTCAAAATTGAAACACCACACTAAATAGGCCGTTAAACATTTCAACAAGGCATCAGAAGTACTGGTAAGCTGCCGGGGAACTAGAAGCCAATGTGTTCAAAGGTATTTCAACAAGCCCGAATGACCAAGAGACCCGTTGCCCCACAGAACTGTCAGAACATTATGCATTTATTGGAGGTGGTGAGATGGTAGGAAGCGAACAATCTTATACCTGGTAAATGTTTTCTTCTGTTTCGGGATCACGGATTGGCTCATGTCCAGCCTCAAAGACAATGTACTATTACCGGAGCAGCCAGAGAAGAAAGGTCAGAAGTGAAAAAGAAAAGAGGAAACAAAAGCATTTGGAATTCAGGCTACAAATCAAAGTGAGCATTCACAAAGTAGGCACAAGAGAAAACACCTTGAAGATTCATCCAGATTCATGCAATAAAATGGGCCATGCACTTTGCTACTGCCAGGGCTAACAGCAGAGGTCTGCTGGTGCAGCCTTTAGCAGTGGTTGCCCTGGGTTCCTGCACAACTTTCTGGAGATATGACTGCGTGATTCAATAACATTTTGTCTCAGTAATGGGTGATGATGCTGGTACTGCTAACGCATGGCAATTCCTGGTGCCGTAACTTTACAAATTTTGTATTACATTTGAGTTACCCCCATTTGCTCACTAGAGCCCAAGATCTAGTTCAACCTTAAGGAGTTCAAATTTCCTCATCTGTTTTACTTTCTTGGTTTTAAATACTGAACATGAGTTTGTCCACATTCATGCTCTAAGGGATCATTTTGTAAAGGCTGCTATTTGTCATTCTCTGCAAGCCACTTCGCCAGGAAATACAGCATATGTTAGAAGCAGCTCCACCCCTCAGCATTTAAAAGCAAGGACAGTTGTGGAGTACATCTTTCTCACTTTTGCTCATCATATGTATGTTAGAATTCTTCCCCTCCAAGCTATGTATATTATTTTACTTCAGTATAGTGGTACCAGCTTTTTGTGTGAAAATCTGCATTCCCACACAATGTGTACATAGCACACATACACTCAACAGCTAAGTACCCCAGTTAGAAATACAAGATAGAGGTTTTCTTTTTTTTAATGTATAAAAGTCAGTTCCGTTTTTGAGTTTTTGGCCTTTTTTCTTTCCTTAAGAATAAGCAGGAGGAAGAAGGTTCTTCTTTCTCTTTTTCTGCACCTCTGTTAGATGAGAGCTCAGACTTGAACCTGAGAGGTCATCTCTACCCACCTGTGGGCTTAGACTGAGGAGAGTGTGGCCAGCTCCTGGCAGAGGTGTCCTTGGGATCTCTCCGTCCTCACACCAGCCCTTGTGACATGAGTGGGGTAACTGGAGGGTCAGGCTGCCACATCAGAGGTCACAGACACTTTCCCTGATAGTTAAACTAAAGCTCACAAACCATTCTTTATATTTGTGCTCCAATGCCACCAAAATGTCAGGCCCTGTTTCAAATTTTTAACTTTGAGAAGCCACCTCATTATTCATCATCTCTCTAATGAACTCAGAATATTCAAAGGACTCTTGAAACATTCAGCTCTGGGAACAAACTTTTACAGATTGTGGAGGGAGCTGAGGCAGGGTAAGAAGGGGGAAGCAGGGCTCCCAAGCCCGTGTCTCTGGTGCAGGCCAAACTTCTGGTAGTGTTGACAGAAATCCACTCCTGGAGGGGCTGGCAGCCCTTGCCCCCAGGAACACTCCTGGCCCCTCTCCAGGTCCTGCCATCAGTGGATGCCTCAAGTTTCTTACAAGATGGCCATGGCCTAGGCATGCTGCACCTGAAGCCCTGAATCATTTCAGAAATTACCTGGTATACAGGATCTTCAACATCTTCTTCCAAAATTGTCTTTCACAGTAAGGGAAGGGTCGGTGAAAAGCAGAGGACACAAAAGAAGATGTGAGATTGTATTTAGAAATTATAGGATAGTACAGAAACCAGCTCTGAGAGGACAAGTTGATGGGTCTTTAATGTAGAAAACACCGAAAAAGTAAAACCCCTGTAGCTGCCCCCACCACAACCCCTTTGTTAACAACAGCAAAGACAATTGTGTGTCTTTAGTTTTCCTCCCTGAAACCTTCTTTTAGATGAAAGACTTTACTCTCTTTAACATATCTGGAATTTTAGAGAATAAGGGATCATTTCCGATGACTGCCTTTGGGTGCCTGTAATTTACACAGGAACCTTTCATCTCTATTTATTCTTGCTTAGTGGTAGGAGGAGAAAGCCTGACTGGCAGTTTTCACGTCTGTGTATTTTAAGCCCCCACTCTTCTGCACCAGGATAAATTCACAGGTATACCTGGTACACTGCTTGTTCACACTGCTTATCCTTTTGTGCCTTTTTCTCCAATTCTTCTCTTTGCTTCAATTCATAGATGAGTTGAAAGAGATCTCTCAAGTCCAGAATAACAGGTTCAGCCTGGAGTGAAAGGTGTAAGGCGCATTAATAAGGCAACGGTACTGAGTGGCAGCTACCAATTTTTGTTTTTGCGGCTGTATCCCGCAGCTCTTCTTTTTCTATTAAACTGAAAGCATTCCACTCTTAATTAATTCTACCTTGTTTATATTGGTTTAGCAAATTGCATCTAGGCTAAAGTTCATTTCTTCAACTAATTATATTTGCAAATTCATACTCATCATAAGCATAAAAGGCAATGCTTTTATTTATTAGTGATTTTGCATAAAATAAAATTGGGGCAGGCCTTATGCAGAGCAGGTATTTGTTATCTCTTATTTTCTTTTTAAATGAGGCTAAGAACACAAGGAAACATTGTATATGTGCCTCTATCTAGCTTAATCAGGAAGAAAAATAATTAGTCGTTAAGAAATACCCATTATGAAAACATGAACAAAAAACCCAAACCAAGGGATGTGAACGCATTTACTTGCTCCAAGGCCATTTGTCTTTTCTAGACAGAAAGCCTAATGCCTACCTCTGGTGGTGATACTTGGCCACACTTCAGGGCAGGCCTCTGAAGATCAACAGAGTGATTGTGCTGCCCCTGGAGTCCTGAGAAGGCGCTTTCTTGGGACAAGCAGCATACTCACCGCTTGTGATGTCTTTATGGCCACAAATCTGTGATTCCCTTCTTTCCCACAGACATATCCAAAGGCCCGGTGATCTGTGATGTCCTTTGCAATGTAGGAAATTTCGTGAACGGCATGATGATGCTGAAGGGCCTATCAGAGACAAAAGGAAGAGCGCATTTCAGAACTTTCCCTTCGAGCTGTTGATCAATAAGAAATGTGTTTCAGCTACGCGTGAACAAGCCCACAGGGCTTTGGAAAAGCTGTTTGGTCCAGATGGAAATGAAAAGAGCTGTGCCTGCCCTTGAGAAATGGAGGTTCCCCTCCAGGGTTTTAATGCTGAGACCAGAGAGAGCACCAGGACTGCTCATATGCAGAGTGAGCATCTGTGGTTGGGTTTTGTTCCTCTCGCCAGATTAGACAGAGTAAGTTAGTGCCTCTGCTTGGGCTGTCTTCATAACTAGCCCAGCCCAACTCTGGCTCCTCAGTTAATCTACCCATGTATCCAGCATGCTGCGCTGAAGGATGTGCCCTGAACAACTCCAGGAGGTGCCACGAGCACTGCTGGTCTGAGCCCTGCGTGGTTCCCAGAAGTTGGTGAGGGCATATGTTGAGGAGCAAACTTTTCTCTATTTTGTCCAAAGTCACCATTTAGGGTAGGTGGGGGGCCATACATATCTCTGGGGTGTGTCACAGGTTCTTCTCACTGTCTGCAATGTCTGGTCTTCTATCCGCTTGCCTAAGTCTTCTTTTTCTTTCAGTGGCTCCCTGAAATAGCACCACCTGTATGGAACACATTCTCTTTGGGCAGGAATATTCCTGCCCCCTTTGGTGTTTCTGCACAAAGGTTAAGTGATCTGAACATCCTGATGGATTCCTCACGCCGTTCCCTGGGTTCCCGCTTTGACAGATTTTCCTCCTCTGATGTGTCAGCCCTTGTCTGTCTTCTACGCCAGGTTCTGTCTTCCAGAGCTCTGTCATCCTAGCACCCTGTACTGTGCCTGGTCCACAGTTATTAAAAGTAACCTGGAACTGATGATCAGTGATTTGAAAATCTTTTGAAATCAACCTGACTTTATTGTCTGAGCTTCAACAAGTGTTCACCATGGTATTGGGAATAATGATATTTATGAGCCCCCCACATTAAACCTATCGATAGCAATCTTCAGCACACTGTATTTTGTAAATTCTTGTAGATGCATCCACATGTATATGGCATGTTCAAGGTCTTCTAAAGAGCCTTTTCATTATATTGGGTATCAAAAGGCTTAAATTCTATCTACTCTGTGAACACAAAACACCCATTATACCTCTCTGGATCTCATTTCACCCCTCTAGAAAATCAAAGGTATACATCAAAGGCTCACATCCATAATCTCAGCACTCTGAGAGGCTGAGGCAGGAGGATTTCAAGTTTGAGAACAGCCTGGGAAACTTAGTAAGACTCTGTTTCAAAATAAAAGATGTAGGTGAGTGAGAAGGTCCTGAGTTCATTCCCTAGTACTAACCTTAAAAATAAAATAACAAATAAGCAAACAAAAAATTAAAAAAAAAAAACACCCGGGATCTACAGGGGCCACTAAAAGCAATAGAAAGAGCATCCAATCAAATTTCAAAATGTCACAAAACTAATAGAAATGTGTAATTATTGAAAACAAGTTTACTTGGTATTATATGTACTTACTATTATATTCCTTAGCTCATACTGGAGCATTTAGTTATGATTAGTTACCTACTCCAGTAGGGAAATGAATGTTTTTTTTCAGATATACAAAATCTTCCTTTTTACTGAGTCCAAAGAGGGAGGGAGAAATACCACACAGAGTAAGTTAGTCATGCGAACATGGGAACCACCACGGTGGAAATTCTCTGGGGTCTGGTCCCGTCTCTTCAGATCCTTAAGCCACTAGGACCTCTCACCTCAAAGTGAGCCTCCTGCACTGTGGATCTCTGGCTCTCATAGGTTCTAGACGACGAACTTCTTGAAATATCCATGCTTCAGCACAGTGCATCTTACCAGGTTTTCACCCAGGTCAGTCCTCCACTACTGCATCCTTGCTTTGACCTTCAGGATCTGACAACACACCACTCTGCTCTTAGAACTCGCCCCTTGGCTTCACCCCAACCACACCACTCATTGTCCCTTGGATATCAGGCAGGACACTGGTTTCACTGCCAGTCAACCTATCCCTCAAGTGGAGTGAGACAATTGTATAATTCTAAAGGTTTTTGTTACAAATAAAGTTGAAAGAGGAAGTATTTTTGAATAATTATGACCCGCTTATTTTTGCTTTTTCAAGAGGACTTATTTAGCTAGCAGAGGAAAACTGCTCCAAGAGCAATAGCTTTTTCATGGTGCTAATGATGTAAAATTGATGAGATTTATATTCACACAACATGGGGGCATCGATTTCTAAGCTTTTGTGAGCTAGAATGGTTTGCAGCAGGGGAAATGGAAGACAAAGACATTCTTTTCTTCTCCCTCATCCTGAAAGTACTTCTCTCTCTCTGTAATGTGGAGTGTGTTATCCACGTCTCCTATTAAATCCAAGTTTGACGACAGTGCCTTATTGATTGCCAACTGGAATATTGCTCTAAAATTAAACTGTGATTAGAAGTCTTCCTGGTGGAATTAGATTTGGAGATGATTGTGCAATGGTAAAATATCACCTACCATGCAAGACAGCAGATGGGGATGTTTTATCTGGGAATCTTCATTAAGCGTTTTTAAACTAAAACATTTTTAATGCCTGATGATACCTAATATTGCCTTCCAAAGTATGGCTGTGTGTGCACGCATGAAAGCCCTAAGTTATCTGTAACATTATCTTTTCCCATAGTTAATTTTATGATTTGTTCAAAAGGATTGCTCTGAAAGCGTCTTATTCATTTGGAAACTAACAGTCAATGAGGGAGTATGTCTCAGCTTTCTCCCACCTTAACTACGCAGACGTAATATAGATACTTGGAAATACATTAGAATTCTGCTAATGTCTCATTTGTAGTTTCATACACATTTTAGCAACCTGAAACACCATGCAAACACTTGCTCACTGAGCCTCAGAATTGCCCCATGTCTCCAAGTAGATTTTATCAGCACAGTCAAAGATAGCTGGAGCTGGATGGAACCTTCAGCATTATGTAGTTCAATGCTTGAGTTTATTCACAAAGGAACTGAGGGTCAGAGATTGCACTGGTCGGACCTGTACCCAATCCAAACTTCATCTTTCCTACTCAAAATGATGAAGCACTGAAAAAGGAACAGACTTAGTAGAATTAATGTCCACTTCCGTTTGACTCCTTGCTCCCCGACCCAACAACAAAAGGACGATCCTTGAAGAGAAGTGAGGAGGGAGGGGAAAGCAGCGCAGAACCTGATAGCAGGGAGAGCTGAGGCTGTCTGGAGTCATCTGTCAGGCCCGATGGGTGAGGCTGTTACCAGGAGGCACTGCGGGGAAACCACAGAGCAAGGCCATGTCCATCTGCACACCTATCCCGAACATTGTGACCACACTCGCATCTGTCCCGCATGTCTGGAGAAGCCCACCACATCGTCTCTGTCCCCACATTCCTCAAGGGAGGAAGCACTTCCACTCCCCTTTAAATCCTTCATTCTACCCTCGCTTTCTGCTGATTCTGCTCTCAGAATTCAGCCCATTCCCACTGGAAAGAATAAATAGCCATGGTTGCTTCTACAGCTTCCTCAGATCATCTCTCTCCCCTCAGCATCTTTAACAATATCAAGCACCTGAGGTCACGGAGGGTCATAAATCAGAAGGCTTGGGGTACAGGTCAGCTGCAGAGATCTCAAAGAAAAAGAACAAGGCCTCATGACCTGGAGGTGTTCCTCAGCTCCCAGGACTCACTTTTAGGTCAGGCTGTGTGGACCTTTCTGGGTTTGAGTGGTTTCTGGTGAGTGGTCAAGCCAAAAAGGTGAGGTGAGACCCTTGGTCACAGGAGACAAGCTCGCCTTCTTCCCAAGAGTGTTTCTGGGGGACTCCTGGGCAAGGTCAGCTCTTCTGGAGGCCGTGTTGGGCAGGAGAAACAGGGCAGAAGAAAGGTAGACTCTGGTCACCCTCTTCCATGCTGCCTGCTAAAGACAGACACCATCTTGGGGGAACTTAGTCCAGATATTAGAGTACTGCCCCAAATCGAAGCAGGTATTTGGTCTTAAAAAATACAGTTTTCTAGAACATCCTAGTTTTCTCTGCAGACAACTCCTCCTGTCCAGTGCTTCATCATTCATAGCCACTCTATATGTGGAAGTATTTCATATCTGTGTCTCAAAGCCCAGCACCAATATCTGCTCATACAGGAAGCCTTCCCCGATTCCCACATCCTTCAGTCATATTACATTGCATTTATCCTTCTATCCAGAATGCTTTGCACTTCTTGATTTTGTTTCATATTTATCCATTAATGTATTCATACCATGTTTATTTGTTGAGTGCCTGTTATATTCCATGCCTCAAGCTACATGCTATATCCACGCAGCTAATCAAAACTTGGTCCCTTCCTCAAGAAGTTCACACTTATATAAGAGAGACAGGCTGCCAAAGAATAGACATCCCAGAGTCACCATAGAATACAGCAAGCGTTCCATTCAGGGGTGCACAGCATGGTCGTGCAGGCTGGGAGCAGGAAACAGCAAAGGGCATCAGGGATGACTTGACAAAGGAGGTGACTCTGAACTGGGTCTTGGACAATGAATGGGTGAAAAACTAGAAAAAATATGGCAGAAAGGACATTGTAGGTAGAACAGACAGAACACGCCGAGGCATCTGGGGCCTGAACACAGGACCACGGGGGGGCGCTTTCCACACGTGGTTTCTCTCTGCTTCAGAAACATTAGAGCTTTTAGAGAAAGATCCATGTCTGGTTCTCCTCCATCGTACGGACTCCTAATGCTGTTCATTCTGAGTAATAAGCGACACATGGTGACTATTGAAGGAGAGAAGGAAGGGAGGGAGGGAAGGGTAGAGGGACGTCTAGTAGTAGGTAAGGAAACAGACAAGAAGGAAGGACGGCGGGAAGGACCGCATCATCTTACTGTGCGAGCTGCACATGACAGGCACTCACAAAAGGCCCCTGAATGACTAGCCTGGGTTAATCCATGGCGTTACACACAGGACTTATTCTGCGAACAGAGGGTT